TGGCTTATGTATTCGCCTTGTCCTTTGCATCACTACCGTTCTATCTTAGCACCACTACACTGTAAGTGGCCAACTAGGCTGCCTAGTAATAAAAGCTCAAGCGTTCATCATATAAGGATAATGCTAGAGCTTCTGAAAAAGTGGCTACTATCGGCCTAAAAGTGAAATAGAATACATCATCTTTTCTCAAAAGTATCCAGAAATAATTAGCTTTCGGATTAACCAATGGAAATGGTTATCTGATTGCAAAATCCAACGTTTTTAGGCCATAACTCCACATGTATCAGAGTACAAAGAAAGTTGATGAGCAGGAAAAAGTGAATGCCTCCAAAAAATTGTGCAGGAATACGGGGTTGTCCTATTAGTAGCATTAGAGATTAATTGGATTAACGGATGTTTAATTGTTCGTCATTAAAACAGACAATTAAACATACATCCCACAGAAAGAGAAGCGGACGAAACACAGAAACTTTGTTATTGCAGAAGGCCAAATATCTCGAATGAACCTGCATCATGACTACTTCTTCAAATAAACTTCTGGTTAACTGTTTTGCAAAGTTGAAAGGAATGACCGACCGCTCATGTACTTAAAATGGGCAGATCAGGTATGAAGACTATCTAACTTCCTCAAAAAACTTCAAATTCAACTCTGAGTTATAGATCATATAGTAATTTCAAGCCTTAAACATTGTAGAACAGATGAGATTTCTAGAAGTTTTAATTTTTGTTGTGCTTCAATTTCGAGTGTTTGTTTGTTTAGAGCTAAAATTCATTTTTAAAACAATTTTACCTAAAAATATGAAGGACAGATGATTAATCAACGTCAATAAGAGGAAGCATTAGTGGAACTAAGGATGGATGCTTCAGAAAAAGTAAGCTTAGAATGAAGCGAACCAATGAAAACAATTAAATCACTTGATGCTATTGCTTCGATGAACACTGCTGGTAGTTGTGAGACGTGACATTTACTTACTAGTGACATTTGTCTTGCGATATAGCATTAGAATGGAGAAACTGTGTAAACATAAAAATGATTAAACTGACATAAAAATTTTCATGCAATCAGCTGATAACCAAATAGATGTCAACGCATGGTTTACATAAGGAAGAGTCAGAAAATTCAAAGTCGTGGGAAGTACAATGACACAATATATAAAAACTTCCTTTACATTTGACAATAAAACCAATGGAGGAGTATGCAAAGAACTTAGATGAAGAGATTTCGACCACATACTAATGGAGTACTTTAACTACGCCTCTCCACTTGTCATGAGGGAGTGGCTTTCGTACCCTAATGAGGTTGCGAGCTGTGCTAGCAGTGATATATGCCTCCGGTAGAATCATCTCCCATGTCAAACAGATCTCAACTGAAGGGTTAAAGTGTATCCACGGGCAGAATGGACTTGCTAACCTTCCGGCAACAATCCTAAGAAAAACCCGAGCAAATGGAGCTCATTAACTCTGTAAGGTCACTCATCTAAAAGAAGGATACACTAAAAAAACCTATGTTCTGAGGACTTTACTGTCACCGTCCTTGTTTGCTAGGCTCTAGAATTCTTAGCAGTAAAGGGTGAAGTCAGTTCCGCGTGAGCTCACCTAAAAAATCTATTACGCAGGTTGAAAGGATACACCCACATTTGCAGCGTTTGCAGCAAACGTGGGTAGACAGCCCTTTCCAAATTTTCGTTCGCGAAGCTTAGCCATGATGATGATGATGATGATGGAGGATGATGATGATGATGATGGAGGATGATGATGATGATGATGATGGAGGATGATGATGATGATAATGATGAAAGATGATGACGACAACTTTAACTACGAACAGATATATTGCGGCGAATGTTCTTGAAAAAGCGATGAAAGTATTTTGTGGGGAGAACGAAGTGGAGAGCACCGAAGAGAATGACACAAAAAAACGAATAATGTGCACTGTCTCCTATCCTTTCTTCATGTCTCTCCAACTAACAAATTACCCGTCACCGTCAACCGACCCCTCGTCATTTCCTTGCCGCGCTTCATAATATATTGTTTGAGTGCTGTGGTGCTGTGGGATAGATAGAATCATCAAGAAGATTACTTCAAGTAAGAAGTGAAAGAAAGGGATGTTCACAGTTCATCAAAGAAATATCAAAAACTCTTTAATCATTTCTGGAGCATAATTTGAATAAAGCGATTTTGTTTTAAATTCATCATTAGATGTAAGTTATCCACAGTTGTCAAAAGAAGAAAAGAAGAAAAGAAGCACGGTGGAGTGAATCCCACTGATCACAAACTAAAAAGATGTAATTGCATTTACCTTTGTGATTCCTGTCAAAATAGCATAAAGTTAATGATAAACTTTATGCGTGAAAGGACATTATTTTTTGTTATTTCCTTGGCCATAAATTTGCCGTTTTACAGCTGTCGAAGGAAATTCGTGATCTAATCGGAGCCTAATAAACGTTGTTGAATGCATCAGAAAAAACACTTGAAAAAATACTCTTAATGATGACGATAGCTGCATGACGAATAAGTGGTAGTACTGTATTACTTAAAGGTAGAAAAGAAGAGACAATTATCCGACTTACAAAATTATTCGGCCATTCATAAATGAAACAAGTATCTTGATCAGTTGTGATTATCCGATTTCGGGAAAACGTCGATTCTTCTAAATAATCTTATAAAATTATGAAATTAAAACTTCCCGAAATCGGATTTTCAAAAACATTTGTCAGAAGTATTTTTTTTGGATTTCGCAAAGAAACGTAATTCGAAACGAGTAAGTTAGGATGTAAACTAAAGCGAAGAAAGTGATGTATGTAAAGGCTGAAGTTTTTTACGTCACAAAAGTTTTCACTTCATTGAAGAGGACCATTACGAAAATAAAAATGCGACTTCATTTTGGGCTTTAAATTAAGATTAACCACTAAAGCTGCAACTTCTTACTTTCAGCAACTAATTTCTACTTACTTCCTTATTTAAAACTTTGTACAATACACTTGTGCACACACAATTTTCAGTTCAACTATTATATATTTTAATCCATGGTATCACGACGCTATATACTGTTTACCAAAAGTTGTCTACTTTAAACAAAAAAAAAAAAAAAACAAATATCGTAATTGCGCATATGAATATGAATATCACTGGTCAAAATAAATACATTTCTCATTACGAGCTTGTAATCCACCTCCTGGAGTCACTGACGTAATTTTGTCATATTATATGTTCGAAATTGTTATTATATCCGTCTAACGATTTCATCGGTGCAAATGGATCAAGGTCAGTTGTTGGTGTGATCTCTGTTAATGTAAATGAGACATCGAGAGAGGCTAATTTTGAAGCAAAATGGCGTTTACAAGGAAGGTTACGTGTTTCGAGAGTGAGAATGACAAAAATGAAGGATAGATAAGAATAAGCCCTAAGAAAAAAAAAAGTAATAAGAAATGATACAAATAGGCCATCAGTCTTCTGGCATGCGATTGCGCAACTGTAAACGATGCATTCACTTATTTATGAGTGTTAATCTTTGGTCTAATGGAAAATAAATCTTGAATGATGAAGTTCGTGAAGAAATTTACGGGAACTATGCTTTTCCGGCGAGAATATAAATAAATCATTTTTAAAGATAAAACTCAAAAGGTTGAAAAGCTATATTATGCGGAGAACTTTTAAAATATTTTATATGTCTTCATCACAGTCTTTTTTTTAAGAAGATAAAACAAAAATTCATTGATAACTCTGTTGTGTTAAAAGCTCTGCTTGAATACCAAATCTACTTTTAAGGATCGTATTGCAATATGCGTATAGTAAATAAAATCCAAACTGTCATCCTCAATTCATGAGAAAATAGCTAAACAATTTTTCATTAAATTTGAGGCTGAGACTAAAGACAGTGAAAGAAAAAAGAATGAAAGGAAAATGCGAAAGGAAAATGATAAAATTGGTAAGGTATAAAATTCGCCAATCTGAAACAGTTTTTCTCGTATTTCTGATGGTTCTTTTAAAAAAAGAGAATGAATTACTATTTGAGAAGGAAACAAAAAATAAAGAGAGAGAAGTACAAACATAAGGATCAATGGAATCAGCATGAATAGGATGAGCAGAGCGCTTTGATAAGGTCATGGTCTCATCCAACTTGAGGGGCACAAAGCAACGTTAATTTGGATGGATAAAAACCATCGATCGAATGATTGTTATTTGTCGTAAGCTTTTCAAAAGGATTCTTAGTGATCGTCGGGTATTCCTAGGGTGATGGACGTATAACAGCAAAGACATTCGAATCGTTTGCTTTAGATCCGATCAAAATTCTTGCAAAATTTGCAATGGAATTACTAAATTAATTTTTGAATTAGAACGTAGAAAAAGAATTCTAGTGAAGAAAATAAGAGAATTATTTGAAGTTAGAGAGAAATAAAAAAGATATATCTAAAGCATTTCAAGGCATCACCACGCTCATTGAATAATTTTGAAAAAGACTGGGACCTTTTCGTAGTATTAGATGCTTTTGCGAAAGCAAAAAAAAATTTCTGCACACTAAAGTGATGGATTATTTTCTGTTTATTTATAATCGACTGACTGAGAAAGTAAACATATGATAGATATAAATCTTTTGATGATCATTGATAATGCTATCCGAAGAGCAATATTACGAGGTGTAGAATTGAAAATTCAGAAGTTTGAAAGCGATACATTTTCCTAAGTACAGTATAAGGCTCCTTAGTTCGTTGGAGGCATTGAACAAAATTAATGATAGCAGCATAGAAGTGGTTCATTTCCTTATGAATCGCATATAATCATTATTTGAAACCAAATCATTAGTCAACCTTATGTATAGTTTTTTGTTTCTTGTTTTTTTTTCTTAAATCCATAGTGGAGATGAATGACTTGTCAACTTAGTAAAAGGTAGAAAAGTGAAGTTTTTATGTACCATTCAGAAATTTTTCAAAATCCCAACTAACATTGACACCCAACACATTATGATACCATTATGATCACATAAACAGCGAATGCACGCGAAAAACACGAAATTTCTTATTACAGAAACATTTATTGCCATGGGTTTGTTTCTGTCTGTGTTGGCTTGAATATCATATGCTACTGGTAAGTCTCGAAGTAATATTTTACTTTTGGGACACGTATCAATGGCATGTGTGCATTTAACAGCAGTGAATTACTGGAACATCAAACTGGTCTGGAGATTATTTTGATGGAGGTACAAGAGAAGTTGCATTTATTTTAAATTAAACTAAGGTACCACTGGAAAAATGTTGTTTCATTGGAGACATGCGACATACATTTCTATCCCACTGGTTGATAGTTATCAGTGCTGTAGTTTGAAAGCTTTACATTAAGCATTTCTTTGCTTCGATCAAACAACAATTGATTCTGAAAACAATATTTTCACAGTTGGTTTTATACTGGACTTGTCAACAAATAATTATTTACAGGTCATCGAATTACTCCATGATCTAGATTATGAAGGAGAATGTCTACAAACAAAAACCAAAAGTTAGTGTGAAACGGAAAAAGACCCTTCACTTTATCAGTATAATATTTTCCAATGAATATCTTCTCCAGAAACATCTCGAACTCTGGCTTTCATGTGCTTGTTGTGTTTAAGATCAAAATATCCAAATTTCATTTTTTGAAACATAATAACAGAATAGTGAACATTACTGAAAATATTAATGATACGTTACACTGCATTTATATATCAAATTCCATCTGGCAAATTAAAACAATTTTTAGTAAATCCCATCCTAAGATATTTTGGTACATCGATTGCTGGGAAATTAATGGCCACACTATAAGATCTTTACTCATCAGTTAATTTTAACGGTGGAAATTGAAAATGGTAGTGAGTTGAGCAACAATAAATCCAAGCGGTATAGTTGTTACATAATTTAAAAAATTTATGATATTAATTAATAAGGAGCAGATAAAAAAAACACCTTATAAATTGAGACACATTATTCCATACCACTCCATCATTTCTTACAGAAATGAAGACATGATTGATATATGCAATTTCAGGGCTTAACAGAAATTAAACAGAAATCTTCAGAATCATTGAACTCACATTTAAGAATAAACTGTTCCAAATTAAATAATATCAGACGTGGGAAAGAATCAGACAGTTAGAAAAACCTATTTCTTATTATACTCAACATCATAATTTCTTCTCGATTAGCCTATATTTATCAGTGTAGAACTCCCTCCATCTTCAATGTTGTGAAGCATATGGGTCCGACTTTGAAGATTATAGTAGGAGCAAGTACTGTGTTTTAGATTCACCATCAGTTCAAGGCATATACAATCGTTCAGGCCAGTAAAGCTTTTGAACTAATTATACTAGTTTGCGAAACTTGGGCTTTAGGAAGTCTCTCATAACTTCAAGGTATACATGCTTGAAAGTTATTGTCCAGTTACTTATCTTCAATGTCAAGACTTCGCTTCAGTTGGTTGATACAAAAATTGCTAGAAGGAGCACTTGGATTTAGAAGTGGACTTCTCCACAACAATTTAATGACCCGTCCTCTTACTCTCGATGATTTTTACCATGCGCAAAATGCTTCGCCTGAGGATTATCCTTCATTTTGTAAGGGAACAAAGACTGATAATTTAGAATTCAGTATTATTCAATACATAATAATTAATAATAATGCCATATGTAACAATAAAAGCATTTCCAGGTAGATCCAAACTTCTGAAGTTCCGCATGTAAATTAATTTATCACGTAGATTAATTCATCTTTTGAAATATTTCAAATAGAAAGTAAATTTTGCAAGATAAATTTCTGCAAAAATTGTATGATGGTGACATTTCAAATAGTGATTTCAATACTACTCCCACAAATTATCTGCGAACTGTTACAATTATGTTTTTACTTCTTATCGTTATTTCTGATGATCTCGAGAATTTGGTTAAAATGAAGTGAAATGTCAAATAAATAATGAGCATAAGGTTTACGGTTGAATTCGAGGGAAAAAAAAAGAAAAAGAGACGGATGGTATGATTTGCTGATTAAACAAGCAGTCATTCCACATATTTAGTCTTATGTTTCATTTAATGTCTCAAGGGAAAAAGAAAAAAACCTAAAAGGTAAACGATAAGAAAGAAGTAAAATGACGCCACTAACCTTGGGTAATGAAAAGAAGTATAGCAAATTAGTACTATTTCACTAGTTGAAAGTAACATTTAATAAATACTAGTATAGACATTATCGAAACCAATTAGCAGGATGCGGTGGGCGGTGAATATGTCTCTTTTATCGGTGACATTATATTACTTATGAATCAATTCTCTATGTTGTGAAAAGAGAGCAATGGTGAATTAACTTCGTATTTAAGCCATAATTATTCATTCTGATACGGTCACTTTACAACTATGAATTTTAGTCGTTAGCAGAATCAAAAAGAAACTTTTCCTAGGTTGTCTTGTCGAACAGTTATGCAAGCTTTTGAGAAGTTTCGCTCATAAATTTGGCCATTATGTTTTGCAGAAAAACAAACGCTTCAGTTTGATTGAACATAACATCATCAATCTTTTTATTTGCAGATCGTGCATAGAGTCATCATTAGCGGTACAATTACTTGTTCATACTTATAAGTCGAATGCCATGAACAAATAAACCGATAATAATTAGATCAATCTTCAAGTTTGTTAGTAATACAATCTCTCTGGAAGTGCACTCCTTCATATCTTGTTATACTAATACTTGTTAATGCATTATATGAAGATTTTCGGATTTAATAGTAAAGGTTGGCGAAATCAATTTGTAGTTGTTCTTAAAAATTTTGAAAATATTGTCAATGAAAATTTTTTTAAGAAGATCTAAAGCGCCGAAAATTAGAAACGCTAATGAATTGTGCGGAATAGTTTCCTGACTAAAGAAAAACACTTTGAGGGCTGCAACTTCGTAGTTGATGCATCTCTGACCGACAAGCTACCAGAAAATGTAGTTAATGAATTCAAAAACATCAAAGATCTTCATTCTTCTTATTTCAACACTATTATAGGAAGTGAAAAACAATTTTTCATGAAGTTGCAGAAAGGAAACTTCCAGATTTCAATGACTTCCATCTATTTAGAATAAATGATTCTTCATTGACTTTTGTGGTAAGATGCGTTATTTTCATTGTCACAGAGACATGAATTTCATTCATCTTTTTTTCTGTTATACTGTGAAATTTTCAGTCTGTCCTTTCATTCACTGCTATTATTATACATAAAGGGATTTCAGATTATCCTCTTCAATGTTAGTTCAAAAATTATTTCAAGAAAATGAATAATACATAACGACAATTATATTTTGTTCTATAAGATGCCAGCAGCTATTCCGGTGCAAACTTTGTTTGAATTAACTATTAAATTTATTGATCTGTCCCTTTTTCATCTGCAGTCTAGGTTTGAATTCGAGTTCAGTTTCTAGATTTATTTAATAAATTAAGTCAGCGAGATAAAGACGTATCAGATCTTCCGATTAGCTCTCACAGTGCGCAAGAATTGCGTCATAAAATGCTCAAAATATTTCGTTTGTATACATGCGCAAAGCTTTCCCAAAAAATCATGGCTGTTCAAAGATAAGTCGGTCAATAGATAAGGTGTTTGATTTCATAATCAGTGACCTGGAATTCGTTAATTACGGTATCTTATATAGTAACTCTAATTAGCTCTCTCTTTTTCGTGACAAAATTATGTGTAGTAACAGCAGTAAATTTTGCCAATTTTTCTCATCTTCAAATATGACGAAACTACAATAAAGTCACGAAAAGTTAAAATTTTTTTCAATACAGTATTAATCAAAGTCGAATTGATAAAGGCAACATTGTTATCATAACTAGATGAAATTTATAAGATTAAAACTGATGAAATGCAATAATAGAGGCAAATAGCGTGCTTAACAAAAAAGAAAAGTGCTATTTATAAAATTGGAAGTAATTTGATGCGCTTTTAAATTACCACTTGATGAGGCTCCCTATCCATAATGTGATAGCAGGTTATTTTAATCGCTGTGCAACAATTTATTCAAAGAGAGACTGAGGAGCGAAAGCTTCATTTGCTTGCTCGTCATTTATTTTTCTTATCAAAATCCTTTGAGTGTTATAACAGCAACATTTTAACACTTAATGGTTGATCAAGCGTTTTCTTTCAGGAGAATTATTAAGCTCATAGAACTATGCTCAACTGGAAGAAGTACACACCGTCTCGGACTTTTGTGGATGAACTTCTGGTGCAACTTTGAAAGAATAAATCTTTAGCAACAAGAACGACAAACTTAAAGGTTCGAGAGTGTAATGGTGAATTGACTCTTTACTATGGTTTTACTGAAGGACTGAAAATGTTTATCCGCTTGTTTCTGTTGAAATTTGGAAGTGACATTCTTCGTCATTGTTTGATATCACATCTTCAAAGATTAAATACATTGCTGCTTCCCTATTTATCACTTACTGCATCCACTTTTGAAATGCATAAAAGAAAATGACGAATTGAACACCAAGTAGCGCTGTTACCGCTTATTCCTTTTTTCGCGAGGTTTTTGAAGATGAAAGTTCGGACTTCCTTGTTCAACTAGCAAACTTGACATGGAAGAAAATAAAGAAAATAAATTGGTGACTGGTAGAAAGAAATAAATTATTTAAATAATTTATTTCTTTCTACCAGTCACCAATTTATATTAAATAAAACTGATTTATTTCCAAAAATAGGCTTTTCTTTGTCATCAAATATTTTCTAAACTATGCATCTCTGTCTTTCAATTTTTTTTTTTTCCTTTCGTTCTTTCTCTCTTATCAAATCATTTCTTTTTTGAAGTATTTTTTTTTTTTTTTTAAAAGTGTCAAATTGTTTTCTTCTCTTCTACCACATTTTATTATTGCAGTGTAATTTGTTTTAAGTAAAAACTAATCTTTTTTCATTTCTAGA